AAGGGGGAAAGCTCTGATAGAGACGAAGTGAGGGAGACGAAGAAGAAACGACGGAGATGAACTTTCTGGTTGTGAGGGAGAGACCGGGATGAAGATTGGGATGGACAACGAGATAGTGAATGAGGGAGGGGAAGGACCGAGACAGGGAGGGCTGGGTTTGATTTCTTTTTTTAAATTGAGGGTAACTTGGTAATTTTACAAAGCAAAATAAGGGGAGAGGTCAGAAATTTGAGGTGGAGGGGTGGTAAAAATAAAAAGGGGTCAAAAGTCCAAGGTGGTTATTGAAAGGGGTCAAAAATCCCAATTTCCTTATAGTTTATAACCACTATTTACACGGGACACTCCTCTCTTATCATTTTATCAATAATAAATCTTGTTCGAGTGAAAGATTTTAATTAAACTAATATGGGAGATTTCTTATTGATATATAAGTATACAAGTAATATACTTGTATATTAAATAATAATTAATATATCTAATATGAAATAATAATTCATATACCTAATTTGACGTATATTAGTCACACTAATATATATATGTATGTAGATATTAGATATATAAGGAGAGAGCTTTTATCCTTTCTAGAAAACCACACATTTTAAGAGTAAACTGACTTTTCCATTTTTATTTATTTATTTTGGATTGGGCTTTCATTTTCTACTATATTTGCAAATTAGAAAATCGATTGTTATATATTTGCAATGGACTATTAATTTTTTACCATATTTACAAGTGCCCTTATCCCATAATTATCCTTTACAGAAAATCCATAATTTTGTGAAAGTAAATCCATATATAGAAAACTTAAAACTATCAATTTGATTATATAATATGACTTTCGGCGACTCTAAATTGGAATCAATTTTAAAAGATTTGTTACTATATAGGAAATAGTTCGAATCACGAAAAATTAGCTCCTGAGTGAGAGGAAAAAAAAAAGGAAAAAACCCCTTAAATGGAACGTTGTAGCATATATTAATCAAATTTCAATCAAATATTTTTATGGTCATTTTTATATATTAAAATATTTAATATTCAATTTAATGAACTTTTTAAAAAGTATTACATTATAAATAGGAAAATTACATTGGTTAGCTAGATTTTTTTAACATATTTACAAAAATATCAACCTTTTTTGTATTTTACAAATATGGTAAAATATTTGAATTTTTATTTTTGAAATTTTTATTATTCCAATTTTATCATTCTGACATCTGAAATATATTCAACGTATATCTATCTGATATACACCCGATGTATATCTGATATACGTACGATTTATATTAGATATATGCCTGATGAATATCTGATTTACGCTCGATGTATATCAGATATAAGCACAATATATATTTGATATACGTCCTATGTATATCTAATATACACTCAATGAATATCTGCACGATTTATATTTGATATACGCATATATTTGATGTACACCCTATGTATCTATGATATACTTCCAATCTACAACTTATTATATATGTATATATATAATGTACCCTTGATATACATCAGATATACGTATTATACATCTAATATACATATGATGTACCTCTAATTTGTGATCTACTGAATATTATCTATGTAGATATGATATATCTATGTATATCTGATATACCTCCAATGTATCTCTGATAAACATCTAATACATCAGATGTATATATTATACCTCTAATATACATTTGAGGTACCTCTAATTTATGATATATTAAATATATTTGTAACTGATATACTAAATATAAGGTATATCAAATGCTAAATTCTCAGTGGTATATCAATTGTTTAATTTGTAGTTTATTAGTGCGATTTGTTGCTTGATATAGTAATATTATCAACAAAATTGATTGTTACACTACTATTTAATCTATATCAATATTAATTAGATACTAAATATAAAAATATCAGCTATAACAGTATAATATTTTTTTAACTTGTTCTTTTTACCCCATAGTCAATATCAATTTTTAAGCAATAATTTTATATTTTATTTCATTTATTTGTACCATTTTTTCATCCGAAAAAAATTAGTAGAGGCTAAATTTGTCATTTCTTAATTTATTTTATTTTATTAGTTTTTTTTACCAGATTTACCACTGCTCCAAATGAAATAGAGATTTAGATATATATTCTTGAAAAGAAGTAGAAATATGTTAAAGCATTTAGATTGGAACTATGCTGAAGGTGATAGAATAAATTCAATATATTCAAATGATCGACACGCAACCTAAGAAATTAATAGATAATTTCAATCTAGATATATTTATGAAATATAGAAAGTTTTAGCACAATATTTCTAAATGTGAACATTACATTTACTTTTTTTATTTTTTTGAAAAGTGAACATTACATTTACTTATTGATTGACTTTAGTTAGAATATTTTATATAATATATATATATATATATATATATATATTATTTTTTTTAATTATTGAGTGACTTTAGTTATAGGGAAAAAAATTAGTATATATTTTTTGTTTTATTTGCCGATCCTTATTTTTGTAGTTTAACAGATAAAAGGGTTTGCTTTAATTTATTTTGATCTCGGTAAAATTTTGTCCATTTTTAGTCTTTGTATTTTTGAAGTAGTGTCCGTTTTGATCCTACTACTTTTAAAATGTGATCATGTTGGTACATTCATTTTATTTTTATTTTTTATATAATTTTATCACAATTTTAGTACAACATTACACCTCGTGATGGCCATCAATTAGTAATTCTGATGTGTTTTTCGATACAAAATGTTGTAGGATTAGACGGTGGTTCTGTGAGATTAGTCGACGTGCGCGTAAGTTGACTCGAACACTCACGGATATAAAAGAATTTTTAACACAACACTACATTGAAAAACTTCTTAAAATACAACCACAAATTTTAAAGGGTTTCAATTGTGTATAAAATTTTGTCTTAAATTTTATAAAAAAATAATTACTTTTTTAAAGTACAAATATAAAAATGAAAATTTTGTAATTAAAATGAACAAAAGTGAAAAAGTACAAAAGACAAAAAAATTTTAAAACAAGACTAAAATAAATCAAAATTTAAATGAGACGAGCAAATAGTATTTAAATCTTATTAATTTACTTAATCAATAATTCATCTAAACAATGACCCACTATAATAATAAATTTATAATAATAACTAATTTATTTATATTCTATATATAACTTTTTTTTTTGCTGTATTCTGCCATCATTCCCATGCTGGTTAGTTATAAATACCATTTGGGTTTGTAGCCCGTCATGTGTCACTAGAAGTTCGATTCGGTATTCGAACGCATCTACTTCAGAATACAAAAATGATCACTAAACTATTCTTACTAAACAATCTGTTGAAGGTTGGATGGTCGAACTAACTCGAATGATGTGTTGCACTTTACAAAATATGAATCATGGCCGACTATGGCCTTAATCGATCAACATCGATAAATATCTAAGATAACTTTATCTTCGAATACATGGAAATCTCTAAATACATTACTTTGAATCTTTTCTAATTTTAAGTGTCTGAGTGTTCATAAGTGATTTCTAATTTGCAAGTACACGACTATTTTGATTTTCAAACATCAAATTTGACACGCAGATTTGTGCTTAAACAAGAAAACATTGGACTTGTAGAGTATAATCACCCCTTGATTTTATATATTGTTTTCATGTTTTTTTTGTAATAATAAATTTTTGAAATAACAATATTAAAAACATTATAAAAAAAGTTAAAAAATTCTTGGACTTTTCTTTTTCCTGGAACATAAAAAAAATTATTTGGACTTGGCTGTCCGTCAAATCCACTTTGATTTTCCGTGTGTTTACAGTGCAATCGTGCAGAGCGTGAGCTCGTTCCAATGGCAAACCACGTGGCATACCAAGGACATTTCCGTAATTTCAGTCCCGATACCCCGCACGTGCAAATTACAGAAGCTGGAATACAGTGGAAGCGCACGGGCATTCAAGTGCACGGTACCGCAGAGGAGAAAAACCAGGGAGTTTACAGAGTAACCAAATTAAGAAAAAAGAAATATAAAAGGCAAGAAAACTGGCAAAAGACAAAACGAAAAGAAACTGTCCAGAGAGAGAGAGCGGATAAAAGCGGAAGGAGAGGTGGGATTGCGTGGGGCGGAGCGCAGGGGAGTTACAGTGGTCATGCGAAGACCGTAAGAAAGGCATGAATCAAGGCCGGTTCTTTGGTGTTCAGATTAAGGAGGAGGATTTTACACAATCCCAAATCCAAATCCCTGCTCTTTCGCATTCTCTCTCTTCTGTGTCGCTCGTAGTGGCTCAGTCTCTGTTTCTCTGACTGAAATTCTCTTTCATTTTCATTCCCTCCATTTTAACGTTTTGCAAGAGGCTAGATCTCTGTCTCTGTGGAATTGTGCATAAATTTGGGGGAGTGGGATCAGATCGGTGCGGACTGCGGAGGGTTAGAGGCCGTGTGATGTGCGGACTTTGACTCTGCCGTGATCCGATACAGCGCCGGCGGCCGAACCTGAAGTCAATTTGGAGGTATGGGGCAGTGTTACGGCAAGACCATTCCGACCACTGACACTGACGCCACTGCAACTACCATCACCACCACCGTCGTTCAGCCCTCCTCCGCTGGTTACGGAGGCGATCCGTCGCGGACGCCGTCGCATTACCCCTCCGCTAGTGGCGGTGGTAACGGCGCCGTCTCCGTGAAGAATACGCCGGCCCGGACCTCCTACCCTAGCCCCTGGCCTAGTCCCTACCCTCATGGAGTCGGGGCCAGTCCTCTGCCGGTGGGCGTTTCGCCGTCGCCGGCGAGGGCTTCCACGCCGGGGAGGTTTTTCAAGCGGAGGTTTGCTCCGCCGTCGCCGGCCAAGCACATCAAGGCGTCGCTGGCAAAGCGTTTTGGGTATACGAAGCCCAAGGAGGGCCCGATCCCGGAGGAGCGCGGGGCGGAGCCGGAGCAGCTGCTCGACAAAAGCTTCGGCTACGCTAAGAACTTTGGAGCTAAGTACGAGTTGGGGAAGGAGGTTGGAAGAGGGCATTTTGGTCATACTTGCTCTGCTAAAGGGAAGAAAGGTGAGCTCAGAGATCAACCCGTCGCCGTCAAGATCATCTCTAAATCCAAGGTACTACAGTCAACTATTTTCAAATTCGCCCTCTCAATCACTTCGATTAGCTGTTTTCTAAATTATAGAATTAATTTCGAAATAATTTCAAGCTGCTTCTATGTTACTGTCTTTCCATTTCTGAATTGGGTTCCGTCATTCACGTTGTTTAGTTTGTTGTGTTGGTTCCAAATGTACTTGTGATTTGATACTTTGAATGCTTTTCTCTCCCACTCTCTCTTTCGGTTTGGGGAGAATTGCCAATTAAAACACCTTAGGCTTATGATTGCTGCATGCAGTTTACAGAAAAAACGATGGTTAATGATCCGAGATCTTGGCACTCGTGAGGCAGGTTAGATTTAAAAATGAGGTGATAGCAGAACCGACAATGCTGGGGTTTGGAGATGTCATACATGTCGATTACAAAGTTTTACGAATACTTGATTTTCTGTTTTTTTCTGGACCATCTACTCCATTGCTCTATGGAGGTACTTCGTTGGACCTTTCAGTTGGCGAAAAATCCACTTTTTTGTTCCCAAACTTCAAGCAAATCAAGTTACAGCCAAACTCTAAGACATTGATGAATTCTGTTGTCTATTGAGAGTATAATTTACCTCTTACTCTGTTAGTCTAGAAAGATACAAATGGTAATTTAGTTATCAGTGTGGCGTTGTGAGGATTTTGGCATAGTTTCCAGACATGATGAAACTTTCATGTAGATAGTGTTCGTACAGTCAGTCACTTTAGTTTTGGCATAGGAAAGGTTATGAATTTTGACTGAGAACATTTGACTTATTTTCTGGCATATAGTTCTATTTTCATATCTGATATAGAGTTTTGTCTTCTGAAAAGTGAAAAGTGAAAAGTTAATGATTTGTATACATTTTGTTTATAAGTTTTTTCCTCTATACACATTTATAATACAATGTTGCATCATCATAAATACGTAACTGGCTTTCTTAATACTTCTCCTCTTCATGTTGTTCTTTAAATGCAAATATCATAATTCAATATGCAAACTTTTTTTTAAACATAGAAGTTATTGAATTGTGTTAGGCTATAAAAAAACTTTTAACCAATGTGTTTAAAAGTTTGAATGTTTCAGTTGCTACTAAAGTTGGTTCCAATTTGTTTAGAAGGGAAAATTCCTTTATTTGCAGTTAGTTTGCATTTTCTTACAGGAGCAAAGACGTTTACATACAGCTTGATCTTTTTCATTCTTCCCCTTTGACTGTAGCTGTTCTGCCGAATAAGATAACCTATTAGACTAGAGCCGCGTTGTATTGGTTTGTCAGAACGTATTGCTTTTGTAACCACCATTTTGTTGTTATCCTTAATAATGCAACTCCCGAAGTAACTTGTTTGAGACCTTTTTTAATGTATAATCAAAAGACTTACATCAAATCAAAAGACTCTTAAGGAAATAAACTTCTTTGACTACCCAGAGATGAGAGCTGCAAAAAATTAAAATCATGGTTTATCACAAAGTTCAGTAATAAAAATGTAGTGTAACATACACGAAAAGTTTTATTGGTTTAAAGTTCTAAGTATATATTTCTGGAATGACAATATTGAGTATCTAAGCATTAGCTATTGAAATATTCATAGTAAATAGTATACCAATCGTTAAGAAAAAAGACCAAAG